CTAATTAGGGTTTTAGCGGCACCAAATTCTCTACAAACCTCTCTTCATCAATCAATCCCCAAGCTCCCTCATCAATGGCGTGCACAATCGATTTCCGATGCTTGGACGAAGGTTTCGGCGGCAAAACTGCCAAACGAAAGCGCGAAGCTCAATCTTTCGCCTCTGGAACAGCTCAATTTGATGCATCAATGGAGGTCGACAGCGACAACGACAATCAAATCGTGAATCCACCAGCAAAACGAGCCGCAATTTCATCCGCTGACGATCCAAACAAGCCAGTTTTTGGTCGGCCGACGTACGACGGAGTTATCGCCGGCAGAGTTTCCGGCAGGAACTGGAAGCAGCCGAGGAAGCATCGGTCGTCGGCAATGGCGGTTAGTCGGAAGCCGGTGTCGTTGGAGCAGAAGAAGAGAGACAAAGAGTTGAAGAAGGCGTACAAAGAGAGGAAGGATGAGTTGAAGGAAGAGATTCGGCAGCATAAGATTGCGAAGAGGAAGCAGAAAGAGGAGAGAGAGAAGAAGAAAGAAGAGAATATCTTGAAATCTGGTACTAAATTTCAGAAAATTACAAACCCTAAAACTCTTAAGAAGATTGCTAAATCTAAGCAACGCAAGCAGCTTAAGGTCGTTTCTGATGATCTTCTTAGAAAATAGATTATTATTACTAGTTCAATTGTTGTTTGGTTGAGTTTTTGTTGCGATTTTTCGTTTAATTTTTACTTTGTTTATCGAATTTGGTTGCGTTTAATGTTAATCTGAAGTAGTTGGAGAAATGTACACTCAATAGAAGATCTTGAGTTGAAATGAAATTTTTCTGCAAGAATTTGTGTTTGAATTTGTTTCAATTTTCATTTATTTTTTGTATATGCTGTATTGTTGCTGTGAATGCTGTTGATTAGGATTATGGTGCTATGTTGTTTCAATGAATTAGGGGGTTGAATTGAACATGTCGGAAGAACCAATCTCGAGTTTATATATTCTACTTTGCTTCGAGTTCAGCTGTTTTATTGTGGAGCTAATATAATTGTTGGTATGTATGAACTCGGAGATTGAATTGAAATGTAAAAATCAGAACGACTAATAATTCCTCTCTGTAACAAAATAAACAAAATAAAATTTTTCTGTAGTCTGTATCAACAATTCTGTATATTACTTTAGTAATGGTAGGATCTAGGAAGCTGAATTCTTTCGCAGTAGAAAGAGTATGGTGAAAACCAGGTATGTCACGTCTTACTGGTGTTTCAAGGCCTAAAAAATGATTCTGCAGATATCGACAACATTTATCTGATAAGGTATAGGAGGGTTGATCAATTCTCAAGGCGTATTCGCTGTTGTAAGCTTCACTTGTGAATGTGGGCTAGCCGATTGATGTAGTTGATAAGACTTGCTAATAACGAGAAAGAAAAAGTTATTTAATCTGTGCATGATAGCTCATCTAAAGTGGTAAACAAAAATATATGTGTATAAATTGGTCTCATTTGATGAAGGAAAATGATTATCAAAGGAATCATAATCAATATATGCAGTTAAAGCTAGTTGAATCACTGGAAGTCTGGAAGACCCTAAGTTGTCCATATCTTTTTCATTTGATAATGCAAGACCTTGCCAACTCCAGTAGATTCCTCTGGAAACACCAAGGAGACGGAAGCATACATTTTTTACCAGGTATGTGATGGTAATAACTCTGATCATCACCTTCATGCTTTAGCTGGATCAGATTTATGATTTTCATACAGTTATGGGCCATGGCCTGTTGTTATAATCTCACTGTTGTTTCAATCTTTATAGATTTTGTTTGATCAAAAGAAATGAGTGTTCACACACATTGTTAACTGCTTTGTGCTTGATTACCATGTAGAATCCTGATACATACATGTGCTATGTATTTAAATACTTCCGAATAAGGATTGCAATCAATGTGAAATTTGGGCATTCGCTTCTCATACTTTTGAGTTCAAAGTGGCTCTAATTCTTTCCAGATAATTTGCTTTTTCATGTTGATGCTCAGCATATCATCCTTCATCCACTAACTAAAAACATGAATTGTCTTTGGCATGATGATGGTAGGCTGGTAGCTATGAATCAGTTCCTGCAAGGTAACGACATTTCAAGGAAGCGAAATTTAAAAAGACTTTAGAGGGCTTCCTGAGTTACCGGCCATGGGAAATTAGGGTTATTTTGTTTCCGATGAGATTGTCGCTAAAATTATTTGTATAGGCTATATTCTACCAGTAGTGCGTTTGTACAACTGCAATTTCTGTCAGTTACCAGTGCATGCAGTCTGGGGGCTCCTGAAAGCTTGAGATTACTTTATTAAATTTTTGCCTTTATGGACTTTTCATCATCAAAAGTATGTATTCTTTAGGTTTGATTTTATAACTTATTGGGTTCCACCATATGATTCTACTAGCAGAGTTAGATAGCATAGCTTGAAAGTTGATAATGAGTCTAAGTAAAGGTGGTGTAGAATAGGCACTTGTTTTTTAGTTATGTTTGGGTAGAGTGACTTCCTTAAAACCTTGATGATTAGTATGATGATTAACGAGGTTCACTTAGGAGGGAGGGCACATGGGGAGGTTGCTCTAGTTTTGTAATTACATTTGTTACCTTTGTCTATCTGTGGCCATGAAGAATTGATACAATTGCCTTGAGCTTTTTCCTTTGACAAGCACATTTCAGGTTGTACTACTATGCTGTACTTGGGTTTTCGATGGGTTTGCCTCTTGTCCACCATTCAAGAGTAAACAGCTATGCAGAATTGATTCAAAAGATACCGGCAGTTGTGCGGTTGTGCCTGTTGAAGCCTTGGTTAACTTCCATTCCTTTCAAAGATGAATTGAAGATATGTGAAAAAGCTGAAGCTTTCTAGAAAGGTATTGATAACTGTATTATATATATCTTATATTTTGTGCTATTTGCTGCCTGGGAATAATTTTGTGTTTAAGCTTATAAATAAACGTGATGCTTGGATTATATCACATATTGATAGTTGCTGCTATTTTCTCATGCAATGATCCTGTTCTAGCAAAATTTTCTGAAGAATACAGTGGTCAAAATCCACCTTATCTTGCAAATTCAGTTTCTTTATTGACGAATTCCTTCGAGCAGTCAAATGGTAGTAGAATCCTTTGAACACTCTGTTTGTAAGCGCGGAAACAACTGCTAATTTTCTAGCCCGTTGATATGCTTATCTTCCATTCATTTTTCTCCATAGTTGATTAGTTGTAAGCCATGTACGGTGAGCTTCAAACAATCATTTAATGATAAGAATCTCTTACTAATTTTCTTGTTGTATTATATCTTGTGTGCTAGTTTCTTGTTAGCTTTGCTGAGTACATGTTGCTTTCTATTGAGTATGGATAGCTTGTTCAAGTATCTGATGTAAAAGTAAGCTATGTTTTGGGTTAGAAATCCTCAGTGTGTATTCTATTCGTGTTTTGTTCTCTGTGAAATTTTAGGGGGTTATCAGACTTAATAGTAACATTGGACATGAAGGTATACAAGGATAGAATCAAAGCTAAAGCAGCTTCTACATATTCTTAACCTGTTACTTTAGTATGTACGCTTCTTATCGCCCAACTACCTGTTTCCATGGATGACTCCAATAGTCCAATGGTACTATTTCTAAGGCTTTGTCCGAGTGTCATCTTCAATCAATTTTGATAATCTCTCTGGAAATTTGTACTTAATTCTTTTCATGAAGTCTTGGTGCAGATCCGAATCCTGTCATTTTCTATCATTTTGAATGTCTGCTGATGCTCCATTGACTTTTCGTCAACAAAACTTGGATTAAGAGGTAGTGGCGTCAACTACTCAACTAGTATACCTTTTTTCTTTCAAATTGCTTCAGATTATTCTTGAGTGAAGAGAATTGAGAAGTCTTGGAACTTATATGGTTAACAATGTAAAATAGGGGAAGTGAAAATTAATGGGATTTGACGAGTTGGAAAATTGTTAAATTCATGGGAATTTTAACTTCCATAAACATGATAAGTTTTCCTTAAAAAAAAAAAAAACATGATAGTTAATTACGTATCCCCCTTTGGTTAATAAAAAATCATGGGATTTTTAAAGTCCCACATTGCCAACTAAACAAGTTTAGGTAATTTGTAGGAATTTCATTAGGGAAATAGCTTCTCATGAAATACAAATTCCTACGGGAATTTAATTCCCAGGTCCACCAAAAGAGTAGCGGGTTGCCAATTGAGGAAGTTTGAATGTCTAACAATTAGGCATTAAAAAAAATACCTAACAACCTTTGATACTATTGAAAGTCTAAGGATCTGTTCTCATATGTTTATTTTCAATTCAGTTCAGTTCAGCTTAGTTCATTTCAGCTTTTAATTTCCTTCTCTTATAAAATATTCATTTCAGTTCATATCAGTTCAGCTGAGTTCAGTTAATGAGAACAAGCCCTAAGTTTAGTATTGGGGTTTTGGAGGTTCCTCGTTAAATTAACTCTTAAATTATACGAGTATAAAAGATATTCCGTACAGAATTCCTAAAATAGAAGGGTAATAGCGAAATTGATGTTTTTAATTTTAAATCATTATAAACCGGATAGAGTTCTCCATTGAAACGCACTGAACATCGTACTTGACGTTCTCCATTACATATTATCTGTTGCAGGTAAGTTGTTGATTTCTTTTAGTAATTATCATATCAATTTCTCAATCTAGGATTTAATTCAACTTATTGTCAAGTGTAGGGTTCGAAATCTGAACTAAATACAAAGATTATATCCAGCGATTGTGTTGCTACAAATTTGATAATTGAATCACATATCTCTAAAATTATGTGATAATTGAATCAAAGTTGATTGCACAATCCTTCAATGTTAAGATTGAACTGTAAAATTAGTCAATTAAACCTCTTCTTCCTCCTTTTGATGATTGCCTAATTTCCGCAGAATTTTATTTGTAACCCCTTTTGTTAGGATGGAACAATGAATATGAATCTGTTCTGTTCTCTTTGCGCCCATTGCAGGCTGGCGGCAATGGCACAGGGCAATTAGGATTGAACTATAATATTAAACCTTTGTTATAGCTTTGTTGGGCATTGGTGGAAGATGATTTACACAGCAATCGACACATTTTACTTGACGGAAGACCACCTAACTAATTCGCCTTCAAGGAAAGATGCCATTGATCAGGAAACCGAAATTACTCTCCTCATTTATGGCTGTGATTTGATCCAAGAGAGCGGTATCCTTCTTAGATTGTATCCTTCACATCCATTCTATCTTTTGCTTCTTTATTTTTCCATGTATTTTGATGTTACTCATACTTGGGTACTCTTGTCAGGCATGGGTAAGTAAGTGTCCTAGCGTTGGACATGGGTACGATTCCTTATGACCATTCATGTTTGCCGACCCCATATCATTTTGGGACTAAGGCTTTGTTGTTGTTTTTTGTATATATTCCGTGATTTTTGTCTACTATAGCTTGAGGTGATATGGAGTGTTTGTGCTCCATACAGTATTTGTGCCATTACATAATAAATTATGGAGTTTGTTGTCCTTAATTGTGAAACTTAGACCTCAAGCTGTTATGGCAACTGGTCAAGTTCTGTTCCATCGATTTTACTGCCAAAAGTCATTTGCCCGCTTTTATGCTAAGGTTAATGTTCTACTTCTGTTGTTTTTATTTTGGTTGGACATGAAATTCTGTGATTTTCTTACTGGTTTCTGGACTAATTCTGCTGCTGCCTCTTAATTTTACTGATTTTCAGAGAGTAGCTGCCAGTTGTGTTTGGCTGGCATCAAAACTTGAGGAGAGTCCAAGGAAAGCCAGACAAGTCCTCTTTGTCTTCCATCGAATGGAATGTCGAAGGGAAAATTTACCTGTCCAACATTTGGATCTTTATTCTAAAGTATGTATCAAGTCAGGTATTTCTCTTATTAGTATCTTTGTCTTTTTAAGTTTGAAACTTTTTACTCACCATTATTTTTCATCCCCCTTTTGTAACAGAAATATTCGGAGCTGAAGATGGAGTTGATAAGAACAGAAAGACACCTCCTGAAAGAAATGTGTTTCATTTGTCATGTCGAGCACCCGCACAAATTCATATCAAACTACCTAGCTGTCAGCCTGTCCTTGAACTTAAAGAACCTTCAAATTTAAGGCAAGATGCTTGGAATCTAGGAAATGATAGGTATCTCACATCAATTAATATCATACATCTTTCTGTTCTCTGTGCTTGAATTTGTGTTTATTTTATTTTGCCTTGAATAACTGAATTCTATCCTAAAATCATAATCTTCTTGAAGTTTCATGCATTCATATTGTAGGCTCCTTTTGTAACAGAAATATTCGGAGCTGAAGATGGAGTTGATAAGAACAGAAAGACACCTCCTGAAAGAAATGTGTTTCATTTGTCATGTCGAGCACCCGCACAAATTCATATCAAACTACCTAGCTGTCAGCCTGTCCTTGAACTTAAAGAACCTTCAAATTTAAGGCAAGATGCTTGGAATCTAGGAAATGATAGGTATCTCACATCAATTAATATCATACATCTTTCTGTTCTCTGTGCTTGAATTTGTGTTTATTTTATTTTGCCTTGAATAACTGAATTCTATCCTAAAATCATAATCTTCTTGAAGTTTCATGCATTCATATTGTAGGCTCCTTTTGTAACAGAAATATTCGGAGCTGAAGATGGAGTTGATAAGAACAGAAAGACACCTCCTGAAAGAAATGTGTTTCATTTGTCATGTCGAGCACCCGCACAAATTCATATCAAACTACCTAGCTGTCAGCCTGTCCTTGAACTTAAAGAACCTTCAAATTTAAGGCAAGATGCTTGGAATCTAGGAAATGATAGGTATCTCACATCAATTAATATCATACATCTTTCTGTTCTCTGTGCTTGAATTTGTGTTTATTTTATTTTGCCTTGAATAACTGAATTCTATCCTAAAATCATAATCTTCTTGAAGTTTCATGCATTCATATTGTAGGCTCCTTTTGTAACAGAAATATTCGGAGCTGAAGATGGAGTTGATGAGAACAGAAAGACACCTCCTGAAAGAAATGTGTTTCATTTGTCATGTCGAGCACCCGCACAAATTCATATCAAACTACCTAGCTGTCAGCCTGTCCTTGAACTTAAAGAACCTTCAAATTTAAGGCAAGATGCTTGGAATCTAGGAAATGATAGGTATCTCACATCAATTAATATCATACATCTTTCTGTTCTCTGTGCTTGAATTTGTGTTTATTTTATTTTGCCTTGAATAACTGAATTCTATCCTAAAATCATAATCTTCTTGAAGTTTCATGCATTCATATTGTAGGCTGACATTGATTCATAGTTCATTTTAAAGTCAGATGAAATTTTAGGCTAGGAATTTCAGGCAGCTCCTAATCTCTTGCAATTATTGTTTTTTCATTCAATTATGGAGTGCTATGCCCCTTTGGAGAGTGCTGGTTTGGCGTTGTAATGATATGGCATTCAATTAGGAGAATTCCTATTCTGTATCAAGTGTCATAGAGTTTTTGTTGGAATTTCTCTTTGTAGTTACCTGGTCTGTATGCTTGTATTTAACTTTTAGTAATGATATGCTGTTATGGTTAAATTTAATTCATCAAATATTAACCATTGGAAATGATTAAATTGATGACTACCACATGCTAAAGCCTTCGTTTATCAACAAATACAAAATCACCATTGTGATTGCTATTAGTACTTACTGGCTTTCAGCCACAATATGCCGTTATTTCTATTTCCATCTAGTCTCCTACTGCCACTAGTCATTGTAGCTAGACTATGTTCACCAGATTGACCTGACTATCTCCTTGTCTGCCTATCTGTCTTCCGCAGGCTGCAGCCTATTATGATATTTCTATTTTTTCTTCTTTTTTTGGGACTATTTAAATTAATAATGTGGGTACTAAAAAGTATACTGTATATGTTTGGCTAGGTACTCTTTGTGGTAGTTGAGTTCTTCTTCGCTATATATATCATATTTTAATTCTGCATTTATGTTTTATCTCAGTTTACAGACTACACTGTGTGTTCGATTTAAAAGTGAGGTGGTCGCTTGTGGAGTTGTGTATGCTGCTGCGGGAAGGTTTGGAGTCCCCCTTCCCGAGAATCCACCATGGTGGAAGGTCTTCGACGCAGATAAATCTGGTATAGATGAAGTCTGTAGAGTTCCAGCTCATTTGTATAGTCGTCCAAAGGCCAAGTATATACCTGTTTGTAAGGAGTCAGTTTCCTTCACATCATCGAACAAGTCTTGGGATTCACAGAATACTGCAGTACCCAAAGTAAGCATCACCTGTCTGTCATTTTACCATACTGGCTCTACTATTAGGTCCAGCAATGTTTATTTGATTGCCTCTAGCATATTCATGTTTGTTAACTTTAATTACTATGCTATAGTTTTGCCTAGTTTAAGTTGCCTTGCCTTTTCTGATAGTTTCCGCATTATTCCAGGAAGGTTCCGTGAATACACCAGTGGCTAGTGCTGATACTGGTGTGACAAAGACGGCTTCAGGTGCTGCAGCTAGTGTTGATACTGGGGGATCCAGAGACGCACTTGTAAAACAGGCACTTGACAAGATGAAAGATTCTAAGAGAAGTGATGGTGAGTCCAGAGACACGGCAAATGGCAGTGAAGGAAGAGAGGACATCATGGTCAGGTTGAAGCCTGAACTCAGAACAGAAACTAGTAGTGTACGAAACATGGATACAGAAAGGGACAGATATAGGGATAGGGATAGGGATAGAGAGAAAGACAGGGTTAGGGACAGGGATAGAGAAAGAGACGGGAACAGGGATAGACAGAAGTCCCGGGATCGTGAGAGGGGAAGAGATTCTTACAGGGAAAGAGAGCGAGATGATATTGAATGGGAGATAGTGAATGAAATAAGTCACCGATCCCGGGATAAACCTCTTATTGCTAGAAGAAGAAAATGTTGAATAGGTTTGTAAAAACAAACCGGTTTGTGTCTTGCGCAATTTGTTTGGAGCTTGCTTTTAAATTTTTTTTTTGATGGGGCCCACGTTAGAGTGAAGAGACAAGTCTACTTTGTTATTGCATGCCAATATCACCAACGGTAAAATTGTTTTCTCATGACAACTCCATGCAAATTATTTATCACTTTGTGTAAAGGTTAATTCATCTACAGAAATAAATATTTGATGAAGGGACGATTCAAAATCAGAACGGAGTAATTTTGCAACATCTATAAATGCATGTCTTAATGTGACTTAAGTTATATTCTTGATGAAAACAATGTTTTGCACTTTGGATGTCTTCAAATTTTGTCTACAAAGCATGGTGTTGTAAGTTTGATCAACTATTGTTTCGCATGAAAGATACAGTACTGCTAGTTGCAACACCAGTTTGTTAATACCACAAGCCTCCCGTTTCATCATTTTGTAAGATAAACTTTGATTATAGGAATTTGATGGAAGATTGCCTTGTTGTGTATTTACCAAGGATGTAGTCATTAGTAGCTACTAGCTACCCTCCGTTCCATAATTGTCTGCTCTTAGAAGTCCTGCCACACCAATGGCATCTAGCCTTTCAGTCAGGATGACATATTATTCTCAAATGTTGCGTGCAGTGGCTGGGTTTTGCTGCAGGATGTGATTATCCTTCTTTAAATATTCAGGAAACTGTACCTGAGGATGATATCTGAAGTTCTTCCGATGAACAATCAAGTCTATCCACAGAAAGAATGAAGCAAGTCACGAGTATATCTCCAATCCACCATTATCTTGAGCAAAATTGAAGAATTACTACAAGTCATGACTTCAATTTAGGTGTTTGAAAGATCTAAGTGGAGGCAGGCATCAGGCTCTATGTGCCAACAAAATTCAGGTATGCCATGTTGACAACCTGGAAACATGACTTAGCAGTTGATAGGCACAATGCCACAATCTAATAACTAATCATTTTCAAACTAGAGAACTCTTCAAACTATAATTTAAGTACCAAATTATTTAATATAATCCTGGGGTCAAGTCAAACCTACAATAATATCCACCCTTTCATGCTGTTCAATTCATCAATTTTACATTATATTCTCAAACAACATGAAATATAATTAGTTTTGCATCATCAAAGGAGATTAAAAATGGCCAAACTTTGTGTGTTGGTGATCATGCTTGGAATAACTTGGTTATCACTTCCAATAGTCCAATCACAATCAGGGATTTGCTGGGAGAAATATGATCAATGCGTCTCAAATAATTTGAATAGCACAGAGCCGCAATTTGATAAATCCAGCCCTTCGTTTAATATCACTGAATTTATTTGCTGTGATCTCCTCCGACAAAGTGCTGTAAATGAGAAGCAATGTTTTTGCAATGTAAACACATTTATAACTGAAAATCCCTCCTTTGCACCTAATGTTACCCTTGTTTTAGGTGCCTGTGGCATTGCTGATTCTGTGGCTTCTCTCAATGCCTTTTGCCAAGGTAATAATACCCTCCTTTACATAAGTTCTTATATGTTAAATGGTATCCGTAATTCCTTGGGTGTGTGTTGTATAGATACGGTCATACAGAGGACAAATAGGTTTTTTTTTTTTTTTTTTTTTTTTTTTTTTTTTTTTTTTTTTTTTTGAGGGAAGAGGAAAATAGTTTTATCTTTTTATTTTCTTTCAAAGAACTTCAAAAAAAAAAAAAAGCTAATTGTTGTATATAAACTTTGTACATCAGTACATAAATATAAAATCTCAATATGTTTTAAATTTTCGTATATTCATTACCTTAATGGCTTAATAGTTGTTTCAGTTCTAGGAACATGTCAATTATGTGGCTTCTTTAAGATCTTTTCTCTAGCTCTAATACTTTATTAAGGATCACATAAACTATAATCGACATGAGATTTTTCAAGATAATGTCCAAGTTTTTTGGACAAGGTGAATGATCGTATTGGATCTAATTCCTTATGGCTCCTATGGAGTAAGGGAAGTACCGGTTCCTATGGCGTTGCTAATTTGATTTGATCTCTAAAGCTCTAAGTACCTTGCTAGACCATAACTTGCTATGTGTGTAGAATTCATGAACTTTCTTACTAACATTTAGTTCTATAATATGGAGCATCATAGATTAATCCTGTTTATTTCCCTCTTATCTTTTATATTAATGTGATAGATGTCCAAGTGCCACCACCAACATCGACACAGCCTCCGCCAAGTGACATTTCCTCCATCACACCGCCTACACCGACGGGAGGTATTTGTAATTTCTGCACTCATCACACTTGCAAAAGTCTTTAGCCTTAGGACAGTCTCTTAGCGTGTAGATTACAGTCTCGGAGATCATTTTTGTTTGAGATTTTGTCAATATATGCCATAGTGAGGATTACAGCAAGACAATTTTGGTTTCCATATCACAGCTACTTCACCTCCATCGCCGCAGACTCATCTTCCACCTTCAGAGTCACCCGCCAAAAAAGGTAATTTTGATGAAATGCATAGAGAAAAAGGTACTACTTCACTGAATTACTTCTTTCTTATTGATCCATTTAATGAAGTTTGCTTTTGTGTGCACTGTGCAGTTAAGCTTCAAGTAATAGTTCCTGCCATTGTTGCTCCATTAGCAGTGATCACAATGGCATGTGTTATATTTGGTTTATATCTTTGTAAAAGGAAGCACACAACAGAACAAAATGTTGCAAATAATACTCAATATGGTAATGTCCTGAACCAAGAATATTTTGCATCTTCTCAAGTAATGCTGCGTAGTTGATTAAAATGTTTTAACAAGTGTAGCTCTTCCGACTCAGCCTCCTGTTCCGCTTCCAGTAACAATTGTTACAGATAATCCGAATAAAGGTGCTATATATACTGCTATTCCAAATTCTTTAGGCACATTGAAGCATAATGCTGATTGTTATATTATTATTCCTTATGACTTAAGATATGTGATACTGAATGAATTGGCTCCTTCTGCTCTGCCTCCTTTAGCTTTGGTTCCATCACCAGGAGATTATATCATAAAAGCCGACTCCTTGCAATATGATGTGGCCACTCTTCAGGCTGCTACTAACAACTTCTCTGAGGATCATGTAATTGGCCGAGGTGGATTTGGTGTTGTTTACAAGGTAAATAAACTACTTGCATATAATCAGAAAAGATTGACATTGTCTTGGTATATATTGGTGTTTGACTATTTTTACTTGTTAGAAATTAATTCAAAACTAATAATTATTTATGGCTCAGGGGAGCTTATCAGATGGACAAGAAATAGCAGTCAAAAGGCTATCAAGAACTTCTAATCAAGGTGATAAAGAGTTCAAGAATGAGGTTTTATTGTTAGCAAAACTTCAACATAGGAATCTGGTGAGGCTGGTTGGATTTTGCTTAACAGAACATGAAAAGTTACTTCTGTATGAATTCGTGCCTAATAAAAGTCTGGACTACTTTCTATTTGGTAAGTAGATACTATAGCCACTGCATTATTGAGTTATGTCTACACTCTATAGTATTTAGGTACAAAACATTCTGGGTTTTGGCTAATGGGATTTAATGAAAAACTTAACAACAGATTCTCAAAAACGGGGACAATTGAACTGGTCAGCTCGTTACAACATAATAAAAGGCATTGCTCGAGGAATGCTTTATCTTCATGAAGATTCTCCTGATCGAATTCTTCATCGTGATCTGAAAGCTGCTAATGTGTTGCTCGATATAGAGATGAACCCAAAAATTGCAGATTTTGGCATGGCGAGGATCTGTGCCTTTGATCAAACTCATATTGATACAAGCAGAGTTGTTGGAACTTAGTATGTTAAACCTGAAAAAGAAAGAAATCAGAATTTAATAGCAGAATGGTTATTTTATAGACTACGGCATTTTTTTTTTTTTTTTATTTACTGACTTTTCTTTAATTTTTATCGTGAATTACAGTGGTTACATGGCTGTAGAGTATTTACTTCATGGACAGTTCTCTATAAAATCAGATGTATACAGCTTTGGCGTGCTAGTTTTGGAGATAGTAAGTGGCAGAAAGGTTGGTGATGTCATCTACCAATCCGGAGGCAGCTTAAAGCTTTTGAGCCATGTAAGTTGTAAACTATTATTCTCTATTCATAATTATAATCATGAAATTGATAAATGGCATGTTATCAGGCTTGGAGTTGTTGGTTAGACAGAGAACCTTTAAAGCTTCTTGATTCCATGCTGCGAAACACATATTCAAACCATGAGGTCATAAAATGCATACATTTGGGTTTGTTATGTGTGCAAGAGGATATTAACAAGAGGCCTACAATGGCGACTATAGTCCACATGCTCAACTCTTACTCTGCAGCTGATGGAACCCTTTCGACGCCTCAATCCCCTGCATTCCTGTACAGCAGCAGTTCAGACCAATCTACGACGAGAAGAAGTAACACTGATTCAACTCCTTGGTCTCAGAACTAACTATGTGTCAATCACCAATATGATTGTTTTGTGTAGGGAGTGAAGTGTTGCTAGAATGGACAATACGTAAATTTGCAATTTCCTTACCTATATTGATCATCAATCTGATTGATATGTGTAAGGTAGTGAAGTGTAATCCAATTGGTTGTAAACATCGTAAAGTGCAGCTCTTGGCAAATCCCAGCATACTCTTGGACTAACTATAAAATTTCCTTTAGTACTGTGATCACAAATTTGGTTGTATGACATCGCGTCTTCAATCATGAATCTATCCAATGACTTTTTTTTGGGACTTTATTATACCAACTCTTAATCGCTAGTATTATGGCTAAAATGTTTTATGGACAATTATTAAATGAAAATTATAGTACCATTAGTAGGATACTTGCTCGTTTGGTAAGTGGTTATAAATTATGAAAATGTTAATAACTTTGTATGTAAATTTGTAAGGAAAACTTACGGTTATGTTGACGGATTTTATACCACCAATACCACATCTAAGAAACTGAGCTAGTGGGGATGAATTGTCGTTACTAGCTTACCATATGGATCATTATTGCTTGTTTGGTTTGATGTAAAAAGTACTGAGTACATTTCTTGGAATATTTGATGCCCATGAAAGTTTATTCCTAAAGAATGTTAAAACTTAATTGGTTGGAATTATATTTCTCTAAAAATTTCTAAGAATTTGCACCAGAATTGATAGAGGTTTAGTTAACCAAGCCTGGTTGGATGTCTGTGGCCTGTGGGCATGTTGAGGCTGTTTACCTTGTTCATGCTATTTCTGATCACATCCTTGTGCTGATTGAAATCTCTACTGCGACTTCTGCTAAAGGTAGGCCATTCAGATTGTTGAATTGCATTGCTAAACATGCATGAGAAGTTACAAGATACTATTATGGAAGCTTGGAACTATCTTGTGTTTGGTAGTGCTATGATGAAAGTGTGGAATAAGCTTAAAAATGTTACGGGCAAGGTTAAGGCTTTGCACTTACAGTATTTTGGGAAGACAACTGAGAAATAAGAGGCTGCTCATATGGCTTTTGAAGTTATCCAAAGTTAGCTGGTAATATTGATAATCTTAATCTTTAGAATCAAGAAACTAATGCGAATGATCAGATAAAATACTGGACTGGTATCCAAGAGAGTATCTATAGACAGAAGTCCAGGGTAGATTGGGTGAAGTTGGGTGATGCCAATAATCATTATCTCTTCTCTATAATGAAGCAAAGGCATTCAAGAAACAAAAACTGACTTTATTTTTAATGAGCAGGATGAGTTTTAGATCTTGAGCAAGTAGCTGGTGAGATCAGTAAGTTCTATAAAAAGTTGTTGGGTCAAAGAGCTACTTGGCTTCCTGCTATAGATATGGCTACCATGAGGAGAGGGGAACATTTGAGTGTTTACTCACAACAATTTCTTCTCTCTCCTATTACTCATGATGAGATTGACGCTACATTAAAGAATATTGATGATTCTAAAGCTCCTGGAATTGATGGGTTCACTTTTTTTTAAAAAAAAAAAAGTGTGGCATGATATTAAGCATGACATATATTCAGGTATTCAGGAGTTCATTGACACTGATAATATGCAAAAATAGTGGAAATGCACCACTATCACCCTGGTCCCTAAAATTTACAAGCTGCACTGTAATTTACAAGCTGGTTTCTAAAATCATTATAGCTGGACTTGCTAAGGTGATAGGGGAGGTTATGGATGGTGCTCAAGCCAGGTTTAATCCTAGTAAACATATTGGGGATAACATTTTGTTGGCTACTGAGTTTATTAAGGGATATTCTCATAAGTTCATTACTCCAAGGTGTATGTGTAACACCCCAATAATTATTTGTAGAATCATGAATTGATGAAATTACCTCAAATAAAACCCAAAATTAAAACTTTAACAAACCTAAAAATTAGTTTTAATCATAAAAATATAATTTTAACATAAGTTAAAAATAGTATAATCAAATAACATTAAGCAACACGTTTTTGAACCTTAAATCCATAAAAATCAAGTTTTAAACCCTTATTTTCTTGATTACACCAATCTGAAATTTTATTCAATAATTTAAACATAATAAAGATCATAAACTTGTAATCTTTTGTTTCAAATAAACACCATCAACTCATAATAATAGCAAATCACATCCAAAAATATAAAAATTAGGACTTGAGAATAGCATAAATAAAAGAAGGGGGAAGAGAGAAGGAGGTAGGGGTGAACATGGTCCGGTTTGATGCGGTTTGAATGCAAACCAAACCAAACCGCAAAATACGGTTTGGTTTGTGTTGAGATGACATTTTTTCTTATAATAAAGTTTAAATAATTAGCCCAACGAATTAAATTGTATTACAAATTTACAATAAAACTAACAATTTTTTTTTAATTTATTTTAATATATAATAATTTTTTTTTATTTAAAAATTATATATGGTTTGATTTGGTTTATAAATTTTAAAAAACAAAACCAGACCGTAAATAGTATTTACAAAAAATTCGAAGCTAAACCTCATTTTTATAAACCGTAAACCAAACCAAACCGCTAAAATGCGATTTGGTCTGGTTTGGTTACGCTTCAGACCAAATTGTGTACAGCCTTAGGAGGAGGCAAACATTGGCTGGCGGCGTGTGTTGGTCGGGCGGCGTGGCAGCAGGTGGTCGCCGAAGGTGGGGTGCGTCGGCATTAGTTTTTTTTTTAATGCGTGAAATAGGATGAAGAGGCAAGGTAATAGTAGTATTTGTGAGGGAGTGGGATTTATGTGAGCTTGGAGGGGGAAGAAGCTTGTGGGTTTATAAAGATTAAAGGATATGGGCTTAGTGCATAAGCTCTTTTCCTAATCCTAATAGGACTAAGATTTTTATTTTGGGCCACATTATGTTGGGTTAGGGGAAGATAGACTATATTCACTCAAAATTGGACTAATATTATTATAACACTATTGTCAAACTATGGTTATAGATAGGAAAATGATTTTAATTTAAACTAGAGCTTATTTATTTAATAGAGTTCCAATAAATTCTACATAAAATAGTTTATGTAATAAAAAATCGAAATAAATATTCGTATACATTAAAAAAATATAATTATCATTTACTTTAAAATATGGGGGATTACAATACCCCTCTTAAAATAAGTTTTGTCTCCGAAACTTAACCCTAAATCCATAATTTCTAAAAATTATTCAAAAACTTTTTGTTTTGTATTGCTGTAAATTGCTTGTTTCTCAACATGTATACTCAACAAACCGTACTTATACTCAATAAACTCATACTCGCCAAAGTTTACATACTTTAATAGCATGCAAACACAATACTATTATGCAATAAGGAGGAAAACCATACAAAATTAAGCAATAAATAGCATGAATTAGGTAAAAATCGCGAAATTATTCGCATTCTACCCTCTTAAAGAAAAAATAATATCACCAAACATTTCATTATAATTTCGTTGGATAGTTCTCATCTCAATCATCTTCCTATCTTCTACGAAACACTCGTAGTTTAATCACATACTCACACTTTAATACTTATTAACTAGCTCACCAAGTTCTCTTCTAATTTCCCAACAAATCGTACTGTAGACACCTAAAAATGTCTCCCCAAAATCAAACTCGATGATGAACAACCTTTCAGCGCCATTATTGGCCGGGTTGAGTATTTAATATTGGAGTTCTTAAATCCATATTTCCATTTCATAACCAATCCAATTCCTAGCTCATTTCCCTACACCATAACTTGTTTTCCTCTTTTCGTGCCTTTAAACCTAAAATCATTCATTTCGTGTCATAAAAACGTTTAGACCAGTTTATTTTGGTTCATAATATGGGTCTAATGATTGAATAGTTGAATGGGGTTTGAAAAGAGCTTTCCAACGATATATTATAAGCCCAAATCCGAGTTATTTCGAATAAGTTATGGCCAAAATACTAAACCGAGCCCAAACCGAACCTAAGCCCATCTTACCTACGACCCAATGATCATGTGGAGGGTCCAAATTATTTAATCCCATTCCTAAAGTAGTTAGGATTAATTAGAAGTTTCTATAAATTTCTAAAAGGTCTTAATTATCATTTTTGAAAAGCTAAGATTAAAGAGTTTTAAATTGAATAAAACTCCTTTTTTTTAATCCTATTTCTATCCGAATTGAAAGACATTCAAAGATAGACAGATATTAATTTTGTGCCTCATAATTTTTATCCAAATCTTAGATTGTTGGATAGATCTTTAAATAATCTTTCCAATGATATATTATAATATCAATTCCGAGCTATAACAGAAAATATATGAATGAAATATCAAACTCTATCTAAAACTAACACTGTCTCACTATTTCGGACATATATTTTATTATAAAAAATATTTTAATCTAATTCTAATTGGGTTAAAAAGTAGAATTCAAGATCTTTCCAACGACATATTATTTATCTTATTCCAATTTCTGGATCAAAAGATATGATAAAAACAAAAACCGCAAAATCTGCTATCTATCGCAAGAGTTTATTTCGATTTGAATTCTTATCTTTTCTTGATTCTTCGACCCTTCTTTTTCCTTATAAAAAGAGGTAATATCTCCCCTTTTTCAATCATCAACAAGGTTGATCACCAAATCATTCTCTCTTCCTCTCTTTTACACCAAAAATCATTCTATTCTCTCTCTCCCATATTCTAAGCCATAAACCTATATTCCTAATTACATCATTCTTTCGTTAAGTGCTCCAAGGAGTCCATACTTAATCCGAGGTTCCGTCCTTAAACCAAGGCGTGAAAGGTATAAATAACTGAGGGTTTGGACCAAAACAAATCTACATTAATTTAATTTAATTTAATTTCAATTTGATTTATTGTTTATTGAAGTTACTAACAATTTATTCATGATGTAGCAATTTTAAGGAACGCGCGGAATGAATCACCTTTCACTATAAGAATCGAGTAGAGACCAATACGAGCTAATGTGACTCCATGACTCACTTCGTACCATCATCCCCGATCCTCCTTTCGTGGTTCCGAACCATATGGAGTTAGTAATCTCATGGATTATGAATGGGGTGTAACTTTCACGGGTCAATCGTTGTTGCCTTCGTTGTCCCTTAATCGTGGTTGCCTTAAATGATCCGTGAACGGTTTACAAGTTCCTTAAAAACTTGTTGGAGGCTCTCTACTTTGCTTTGTCCCTAATCGTTGTCCCTAATCGTATATGTCAATTCCCACTTCCTATGAGCGCCAAGCATATTCACCACATGCTTTTTAACGTAGGCGCACTTCGAACGACGCCTACAATTTGGCGACTCCACTTGGGAGGATTCTTGGATATTTATCGATTTGAGTGATCGGTATTTATTTGAGATGAGTGGATGAGACTTGAAAGATTCTTGAATTTTATTCCTGCGATTTAATTGGCATTGTCACATATGCATATGCATTTTAGATTACCTATTTTGCTAAAATAGTACGTGTTTTGCGTATGTATGTGGCTAGCCCGGGGGATTTAAGCTCTATCAACCCAAAAACGCTCATGGCATTAAGGGTTCATTTGAGTTTTAAATCCACCCAAACCATGGAGTCGAGTTCGAATTCATCACGAACTCGCGGAGCCGCCCATTAGCATACACCGTCAAGGGAGGCTGCCTTGCTAACACGTCCAAACTCTTAACCATGGTACCCTTTGACACCCAAATAAGCTTCACCATAGTCGAACATAGAACTTGACTTTAGGTTGCGAAATTCATTGCATCATGCGTGACAATGTGCTTATATGTGCATTTTTTTTTGAATTTTTATTTATTAAATTTTTTTCTCTTATTAAACCTTTTTTTTATTAGAGTCGAATCATAGATTTTTTTTTTTAGAATTTTTGAGTCATCCGGATTTTTATTCCCGTATCCTGTACAAGAGTCAACTTGATTTGGTCATATCCGGAGTTCTAGAAAAAGTTATGTGTCGTGACACCTATGGATCTGTAGCCCCGAGTTTTAACTTTCATTTGACATTGGTTTCGTCCCAATCAGGGTCACAGACCAAAAGTTATAACCGATATACTACAGCATGTCCAGTTTAGGTGCCTTTTTTGTGTCAACCTTCTTCTTCTTTTTTAATTTTTTTTATATTTTTGTGTCAAGCTAGTCTTAGCCAAGTCCTTTATACTGTGTCAACTCGTATAACATAGGATTATAGATTTTTATGTTTATTTTTTTTTTTATACCCATAAGTCATAACTCTTCTAGAATTCTAGTCCTCTTCCTAGTTTCTTGTGATCAATTTTTGTGCTAAACTTAACATGTGTTCTTTGTCTTTGATTGTGATTGATCTTATTTATGACTAACGATTGTCAATGGACCATTTTCACCTAGTAAATAGCATAAACATTAAAATTGGACAAAATTAATCAAGTTAGTTTGTCTTTTAGTCTTCGTGCTATTTGGTCATTGGGTCCTTTGTTTTTCACAACGTCCTCATGTCTAGCCATGCGATCATACCACGAGTCTTAGTAAACTCACCTAATCTCACATGTTGAGTCATTGCACACACTTTGTCTTCGAGTAATGCACTATATTTTTTATGATCGTATACTAGGACCATGCATGCGTCGTTTTCCGTTGTAATAGGAATGAGTGGAGTATTTCCCATCAGTTTTCAAAATTGTTTTATACACTCCTCCTTTTCAATCTGAGTATTGAGTGAATGCATTAGGTGAGTTCATCCTTACACAGTACTTGAGTCTAAAATCACTAGGCAATAGTTGGAAGAATAAGGGGAATGTCACTCCTTCCTTTTTTTCTTCCAATCAAAGCATCAACAACAAGAAACTTTTTTCCTCGGAAAATGGCAAGAAGTAACTCATAAGCAGCCATGAAGACAAAGCAC